CTGTCACAGTTATGACCACCACTAGCATTACACTCATCCACGTCTGAACAAGGAAATGCAAACACTCAACTGTTGTGGAAAAATGACAAATCTATGCAACAGCCACCTGCAGGAAAATGTTCTCCAGCGAAGGCGCAGTGGAACCGCTGGTGCCTCAAACGTTTGCTTTATAAGAACTAGTCTGTGTGACTTGTCGTGCAATGATTTGTTTTTACGTCTTATTATCAGTCACTCCCATGGTTTCGGACTGTCCACGCTGCACTTCTTGTTACGTTTACGGCAGTGCTACATGTGACATGACAATTCCATATTGTTGCACTATGTGAATTAATGGCTCTCTCTCTATCTCTGTCTGTCTCTCTCTCTCTCTCAGTCTCTGTCTCTCTGTCTCTCTGTCTCTCTGTCTCTCTGTCTCTCTGTCTCTCTGTCTCTCTGTCTCTCTGTCTCTCTGTCTCTCTGTCTCTCTGTCTCTCTCTCTCTCTCTCTCTCTCTCTCTCTCTATCTATCTATCTATCCATCTTTCTCTCTCCCTCTCTCTCTTTATCTCTCTCTTTCTCTCTTTCTCTCTCTCTCTCTCTCTCTCTCTCTCTCTCTCTCTCTCTCTCTCTCTCTCTCTCTTTCTCTCTCCATTACATATTGGATATCCCGAACAGTTATCAAACCGTCTCTTCCAGATACATACATATGTGGCTGCTCTCTTAGGACTTTCTAAAATCTGTTAAAGAGCTCCTTGCCCCCCCCCCCCCCCCACACACACACTTGTTTCTTCTTCATATGTAGCTTACCAATCCTTCCAACAGAAATTAAAACAGTAGTCATTGCCGCTTACAGTGGAAGTGTGGGTTGTGAGCAGGAAGTGGCTTCATTCACAGCACTCTATTAGCAATTGCAGCAGATCTATTGGACACTCACCTTCACACACAGTACCATTTCCACTGTACCCAGTGTTACAGGCGCAGGTAAAACTTCCAGCAGTGTTGGTACAAGTAGCATCGCTGTGACAGTTATGACCACCACTAGCATTACACTCATCCACGTCTGAACAAGGAAATGCAAACACTCACCTGTTGTGGAAAAATAACAAAGCTATGCAACAGCCACCTGCAAAAAAAGTGTTCTCCAGCGTAAGCACAGTGGAACCGCTGGTGGCTCAAACGTTTACTTTTAAGAACTACTTGGTCCGCGTCAGCAATATTGTTGCTTATCTTTCAGCTTTGTTTTTATGTCGCCAATGCTCACTTGGCAGCCCATTTCACCCCAATTTTGGTAAGTAAGTTAGTTTGCTAGTACATGTACCTGAAAGGTCTAGCTAGATTTCGAGAGAGACGGGTGGGTAATTTTGATTGATACAGCGCCGCATCAAAATGGATTATCTTGTCACACTGCGCAGGCAAGAGCAGCGCAACTCACAAGAAAGTAATTGGCTACTCGGAATTAATTCCATTTTGCAGGCGAGATCGCTCACCTCAGGGATCGCTCGCCAAGCTGACATCGCAGTTCCCTCACCTCCAGCTCAACGCTCGGAGTATCCAGCGCATCGTGGAGATTTGCAAGTACTGTAGCGTCGTCGTCGTTCAAAATGAATCTTGCAAAGAACAGCGACTGATTTGAACCACACAGGGAGCCGTGCTGCCCACGTGAAGTCCTATAGAAGGCGACCGTCACGGTCGACTTCCCTTCAGAAAATAGCCAGGCAGCGGAGAGGAAGAGAGATCAGCTTGCGAAAGCAAGAGTGTCGATCCCGAGCAAAAAATACTTGTCACAAGCGCCGAGAGCAGTGACGAGGAGGACCAAAAAAGTATGAACCCTTCCTTGGACAATAAATTCCTCACGACCAGTGGTTATTCTGTACCTTACTGTAGTAACTGGCCTTTCTCCACCTGCTCCCAGTCCCGTGCCATCTCCACACTTATTTCAAGGGACGACGATAACTACATTTAGAAGACTTTATTGACACGACGACGAAACACAACTAGACAAGACGAACTCAAGACGAAGACTACTTTTTACACTACAGCAACACGCGCATGCGCATACATGATTGTACACGCGACGTACACAAAATAACGTACTATACGGTAGAAAGTCCGTCTACTACACTGCTCCCCTCTCAAATAATTTTCCGTCCTCGGAAAACCAACAAGAACATGACACAAAAATTAATGTATACACTGCTGCCTCCTCAAAAGGCTGAATCGTTCCTGATTCAAAAAATAATAACAGAATAAAAATAGATCACACTAGCCACGCGAGCATACCACACCAATCACCCAAAAATGTATCGCAGCAAAACACAGCAGCCAGAGACCATCTGCCATTCACGCAGGACCTGATAACACAAAACCCTGTCTGCCCACCAACCAGACCTTCAGCTCACGCGCTGGAACACAATCGTGGGAAATGCATACAACATCACACTCGCGCCACCTCACCAATCACGTAAAAATTCTAAAATGTAAGAGGACAAAATAATAAGAAGAGCAAATAAGAAAATGACCCTCGTCCTCGAGGAGAGCAACTGATAAATAAAGTAAAAAAATTGAGGAGAACAGCAAATACAAAACTCACGCCGTCTACCATGTCGTCCGCCATCTCAAGGAATGCTGCTCAGCGTCGACATCCTCACTTCTGGGCACAGTTTTACGTCGTGTCCGGGACCATCCATCCTTCTTTTTCTTTTCCTTTTCTTCTGGGCACAGTTTTACGTCGTGTCCGGGACCACCAGTGACGACGATTGACAAGAGACGGGCGAGACGAATGATGCAGGACGAAGACGACGGACGAACTTCTTGAAGACTGACGAAACTGTTACGATAGGACGACCGGAGATGACATCGGAAACTGGGAGCGAAGGCCACGCAGGACGAATCCAGAAGTTGATTTTGACAACAGTTTCCATCACCGCTGCCACCAATGTAGTAACTGGCCTTTCTCCACCTGCTCCCAGTCCCGTGCCATCTCCACACTTATTTCAAGGGACGACGATAACTACATTTAGAAGACTTTATTGACACGACGACGAAACACAACTAGACAAGACGAACTCAAGACGAAGACTACTTTTTACACTACAGCAACACGCGCATGCGCATACATGATTGTACACGCGACGTACACAAAATAACGTACTATACGGTAGAAAGTCCGTCTACTACACTGCTCCCCTCTCAAATAATTTTCCGTCCTCGGAAAACCAACAAGAACATGACACAAAAATTAATGTATACACTGCTGCCTCCTCAAAAGGCTGAATCGTTCCTGATTCAAAAAATAATAACAGAATAAAAATAGATCACACTAGCCACGCGAGCATACCACACCAATCACCCAAAAATGTATCGCAGCAAAACACAGCAGCCAGAGACCATCTGCCATTCACGCAGGACCTGATAACACAAAACCCTGTCTGCCCACCAACCAGACCTTCAGCTCACGCGCTGGAACACAATCGTGGGAAATGCATACAACATCACACTCGCGCCACCTCACCAATCACGTAAAAATTCTAAAATGTAAGAGGACAAAATAATAAGAAGAGCAAATAAGAAAATGACCCTCGTCCTCGAGGAGAGCAACTGATAAATAAAGTAAAAAAATTGAGGAGAACAGCAAATACAAAACTCACGCCGTCTACCATGTCGTCCGCCATCTCAAGGAATGCTGCTCAGCGTCGACATCCTCACTTCTGGGCACAGTTTTACGTCGTGTCCGGGACCATCCATCCTTCTTTTTCTTTTCCTTTTCTTCTGGGCACAGTTTTACGTCGTGTCCGGGACCACCAGTGACGACGATTGACAAGAGACGGGCGAGACGAATGATGCAGGACGAAGACGACGGACGAACTTCTTGAAGACTGACGAAACTGTTACGATAGGACGACCGGAGATGACATCGGAAACTGGGAGCGAAGGCCACGCAGGACGAATCCAGAAGTTGATTTTGACAACAGTTTCCATCACCGCTGCCACCAATGTAGTAACTGGCCTTTCTCCACCTGCTCCCAGTCCCGTGCCATCTCCACACTTATTTCAAGGGACGACGATAACTACATTTAGAAGACTTTATTGACACGACGACGAAACACAACTAGACAAGACGAACTCAAGACGAAGACTACTTTTTACACTACAGCAACACGCGCATGCGCATACATGATTGTACACGCGACGTACACAAAATAACGTACTATACGGTAGAAAGTCCGTCTACTACACTTACCTTCCATTATACCGAGTTTTATCGTCTCGAGTGCACGCGTTGATGTCCAAAGTCTAAGTTCAAATTGTCGAAAGATTAGCGACAATATTGCTGACGCGGACCAAGTAGTATGTGTGACTTGTCATTCAATGATTTGTTTTTACGTCCTTTTTTCAGTCACTCCCGTGGTTTTGCACTGTCCACGCTGCACTTCTTGTTACGTTTACGGCAGTGCTACATGTGACATGACAATTCCATATCGTTGCACCATACGAATTAATGGCTGGCTCTCTCTCTATCTGTCTGTCTGTCTGTCTGTCTGTCTGTCTGTCTGTCTGTCTGTCTGTCTGTCTGTCTGTCTGTCTGTCTGTCTGTCTGTCTGTCTGTCTGTCTGTCTGTCTCTCTCTCTCTCTCTCTGTCTCTCTCTCTCTCTCTCTCTCTGTCTCTCTGTCTGTCTCTCTGTCTGTCTCTCTGTCTGTTAGGGGTGAAACGAAGGTGTCAAAGGTTCAAAGAACCTTCGTTTTAATTTGAAACAAACCTTCGTTTTCAATTCAAAAGAAGGTCAACACACGATTTCTGCACACACAAGCACATACATGCACTGATCTTCCTTGTATACAGGAGGAACTGTACTGTAGTTTGTACAGTCGACTAGTTTTGTGTTCACTTGGCTCCCGGTAGGTGCCACTGCAAGTCCATAGTAGGCCACGGACTGCGCTTGAGCGTGGCCATTCGCGACCTAGGTGTGCAGAAGTAGTCCTGGGCAGTTTAGGGTGCAAACTGCGCACTGCAAAAGCTATGGGCGTGTGACTGCACATCAAATATGTGCACAGTCATGTACTTTGTAGGGCACATGCACAAAGCGTGCTTCAAGAGGAACTGTGAACTGGTAAAAGAATCATTCGACACCTTCGTTCGTTTCCATGAAGAAGGTTCGTTTGGCAAATTGAGACCTTCGTTTCACCCCTACAGTGTCTGTCTCTCTATGCCTCTCTCTCTCTCTCTTTCTCTGTCTGTGTGTGTGTGTGTGTGTGTCTCTCTCTCTCTCTCTCTCTCTCTCTCTCTTTTTCTCTCTGTTACATATTGGATATCCCGAACAGTTAGCAAACCGTCTCTTCCAGATACATACATATGTAGCTGCTCTCTTCGGACTTTTCTATAATCTGTTAACCCTTTGAGGACTACCCAAAACCACCTGGATTCCTACCATTTTCAGGCCAAAAATCGGTATTTTCAAAAATTGATCTAGTGTCATAAAATTTGGTTCTAAAGTGACGTAGACATCAGTAGGTCAGAATGGTCAATTCAAAATAGGTGTATGTTGCGATTTTCCATCGCCTTGAAGATCAGTATTTTCAAAAATTTCATTCTCTACGATTTCAATTGCGCCTGCAGTATCGCCACGAATTTCGCCAACATCGACCTCGCTGTCATCCTCAGAAACATCAAAGGGATCACATGGTTCGCCCTCACTATCGCTGTTCATGAAGATAACATCGAGGGCCTCAGACAAGGAGACACTTGACAGGTTACGAGGGCACTGTCAACAAATTTTCAAATTCTAAATACTTTCTTGATCGGCGCATTCGAGTTTATACTCAAATGTGGCCGGTTCTTCACGGGAGCGGCGCGAATCGACTGCGACATATCTCACCCACTCCATTGTCAGGCTGCTTCGGTTCGTCATCGCCACCAGTGTGATCGACAACGCCTTGAGTATCAGTATTTTCAAACTTTTCATTATAATTTCAAATGCGTCAGCGGTGCATGTATCGCCACGAATTTAGCCAACATCGACCTCGCTGTCATCCTCAGAAAAGTAAAAAGGATCACACTGTTCATCTCCACTATCGCTGCTCATAATGATAATGCCGAGGGCCTCAGAAAAAAAGACACTTGACAGGTTACGTGCCATCGGCACTCTCAACAATGAAGTCCCCTCACATCAGAACACAGGGGTTTTATAGTATTGAATTATGGAAGTATTTCGACAAGAGTGTAGACAGGAAATGGAAAGGAGAACAGGACAACGACAACTCAAGACTAACAGAACAGAACTGCAGACCCACTGGAGCACGCACTCTTCTATGTGAGTGGCTCTCATTGCCAAGGGGAACGAGCGGGAAATACGAATAGTGAGTATGACATTGTACAGGTTGTAGCATAAATACACCTACAGTTGTGGCAAGTGAAATCCGACACTTGCCATAGGGGACAGCGCCACAAATGGACACCAATGATGTGATGCACTGCACCTAATTTGTACTATAGAGCCGTATGCATCCCAAGCAGATCGAAAGGTCACAGCGTAGATACACACAGTTTACAAATATGGTACACATAAGGAGTATTGGTATCCAATCTCCATTCATTTTTGCCAGCACCTTTTGAACCTTGACTGTGATGAGTACGAGTTTTGTCATCAGACAGATAAAGTTGTATGTAACACATGTACTGTACGTTTGCAGGGCTGCAGGGGCTGCAGACTGCATGGTGCAGTCTCTTATGCCAAGTGTCGGATTTCACTTGCCACAACTGTATTACAAAAGTAACAAGTTAATTTCAAATTCCAAATAATTTCTCGATCGGCGCATTATCTGAGTACACTCAAGTGTGGCCGGTTCTCCACGGGACCGATGCAGATCGGCTGCGACATGTCTCACCTTGACGAAGAATCAGATCGTACTGGTCTGAGCAACATATGAGCGACTTCAAGCACCTAAAAATATATTGAAATTTTCTCAAAAACGGATAAACTCGTCTTTAGGAATCCAGCTATACCTTAAAAAACGGATAGTTTTGTCCTTCGTCCTCAGAGGGTTAAGCAGCTCCTTGCCCCCCCCCCCCCCTCCCCCTCCCCTCCACACCCACACACCCTTGTTTCTTGTTCATATCTAGCTTACCAATCCATCCAAAAGAAATTAAAACAGTAGTCATTGCCGCTTACAGTGGAAGTGTGTGTTGTGAGCAGGAAGTGGCTTCATTCACAGCACTCTATTAGCAATTGCAGCAGATCTATTGCACACTCACCTTCACATACAGTACCATTTCCACTGTACCCAGTGTTACAGGCGCAGGTAAAACTTCCAGCAGTGTTGGTACAAGTAGCATCGCTGTCACAGTTATGACCACCATCAGCATTACACTCATCCATGTCTGAACAAGGAAATGCAAACACTCACCTGTTTTGGAAAAATGACAAAGCTATGCAACAGCCACCTGCAGAAATATGTTCTCCAGCGAAGGCACAGTGGAACCGCTGGTGCCTCAAGCGTTTGCTTTATAAGAACAGCATATTTGACT